GAGAGCCTTCCCTGCCCAGCCACAGCTGATACTGGACACAGAGGACAAGCAAGAGGAGAAGGTGATGGGGCGGGGCTGCTGTGGAAGGGACCTAGTGGGGAAGGAGCTTTGGCCCAGGCTGCCCAGGCAGCGGTCGGAAGCAGCAGTTCATGCTGTTCCCTGGGCTGTGGGCCCGCCCCCGGGGCAGGAGGGGCACCAGGGCCTGGTGGGCAGCCATGAGGGTCTGGCCAGGGGTAGCACTGTGGGGGTGTTCTTTCCAGACCACTGTGGTACCTAATTATTAGACACATTGACTGAACCATTTAACATTTTTTTATTAATTTCAGAGAGACAGAGGAACAGAGCGAAAGAGTGACAGAGAGAGAGAGAGAGAGAGAGAAACATTGACTTGCTGTTTCACTTATTCATTGGTTGATTCTTGTATGTACCCTGATGGGGGATTAAACCCACAACCTTGGCATATCAGGATGATGCTCTAACCAGCTGAGCTACCTGGTCAGGGCTTTGAGTGACCATTTTTTTTAACATGACCCTATATGATAAAATTATTGTCTTAATAACAAATAAATAATGATAATGGCCAAAAAAGACTGAAACTGTTCTTTAACCTTATATAATTATACCAGTAAATAAGTAATAAATAAAAGGAATATTACAGTATAGAAAATACAAAAGTAATTAATACTTTAGAATTATGCAAAATTTTTTGGAGGGAAGGGGGAAGTAAACACATGAAGAAAGCTCCCCCAGAAGTGGACTCTGCAAGTTTCGGAGGGTGATTTACCCTCCGAATGACAGGATTGAAGGCCCTTGACCCTGTTACTTTGTCTTTGCAAAAACTGTGTGTCCTTGTTTATTTCTGAATAGCTCTCACCACTCTGAGTCGCTACAAACTTACTTCGAAATGAAGTGTAGCAGGTTCTGTGTATTCCTGGCTGACTATATACATGAGATTTCTTGGAATGAACTACAATGTAGTATCCAATCTTCATGAGAGGATAAGTAACAGAAATGCACTCACTTGAAATTCATGTATATATTATTGAAACTCAAGAATAACCACAGTAATTGCTTAGAATATAGCACCACAGGTTTTGTTTTTTTATTTTTTTGCGGGGGTGAGGGTGGGGGAGGAGTATTTTTATCACTGACACAGAATTTCTGGTGCAGGGTGATAAGAAAGCAGATTGACTTTAGTCAATTTTACATTATTTTAAAGTCCTCTACAGACAACGAACCTTCGTGTTGCCTGTACCCAGGGCAGACTGCCCCCACTGCCACCCACCCCCACCCCTGCTTCTTTGCCGGGGTTTGCACACATCCGCAGCCCGATATTCCAAAAGCCTTTGATCCAAACCCTTCCCAGTCCAGGCACACTAAGAAAACAGGCAAATAGCAACACGCTTGAATCGCCATCAGCAAGCACTGTTGTTGTATTCAACGAGAGTAAAGAACCTAGCACATCTCGAACAGTACCCATAACACGGTGTAGGCATTGTGCTTAGTAATTCACACATATTAACTTATTTGATGCTCTACTTTGGGAGGTAGGTTTAATTAAGCCCATTTTATAGATGAGGACACTGAGGCTCAGAGGGCTTGTATACATCCGGTTTACAGAGCTGGATTCAAACTCCAAAACTTATGCTTTTAACCTCTACATGATGGGCATATAGAGTTGTGTGAGGACTAAATGAAATGGTGCACAGAAGTGACTAATAGATAGTCCAGTGCATAATAAATATGATAATAATAACAATAAAGAATATAATCATTCTGAAATATAGTAATGAATATAAAGTGCTTCATATTCCTGGCACAAAGTAGGTAGCTAAGAAGAATGACAACACAAGGCCTTATCTGACGACACACCCAGTGAGCAGAGCAGGTAATGTGGCAGACATTCAGAGGATGGAGGTTATTTTGAAATGGCCAAGGGGTTGGCAAGGACTTCCTGGAGGGGGGTGGCTTCATTCAGGCTCTAAAGCAGGCTGCTCTCAGGAGTATACCTTCCCTGCTCCTACTCCTTCACGCAGGTAAAGCCTGCTTTGTCTGGGCGACTGACCAGGGCAGAGCTGCCAGCGCAGGAGGACCCCAGGCCGGAATCTCTGCCTCTCTCTGGAGACCTAGCCTCCTGACGGCTCCAAGGCCACCTGTCTCTGGGCAGAGTCCTGCTTCTGGCTCACCCTGCCCTGGTTCTGCCCTGCATTGTACTCATTTGCAGACACTGAAGAATCCCTCCCCTGTCCTCCAGCCCTGCGCAGACAGGAAGGGCTTTATTTCTGTTTATTTTATTTATCAAACACTTATTGAGTGTTTACTACATATCAGACTTGCTGTAAACACTTTTGAACATTAGCTCACTTAATCTTCATCATAAGCCTATGAGGTTGTTACTATTATTGCCTCCATTCGACAGATGGGGAAACCAAGGCGCAGATGCTCACTTGGTTAGGAAATGGCAGCTGAGATGCAAACACAGGCAGTCTGGCTGCACACTGCACGTCCTGAACACCAAGCCGAGCTTTGAAAGCAGGGGTCATCTCTCGGTCATCTCTGTGGCCCCTACAAACCCAGGCCTAGTGTCCTTCTGGTAGAGTGTCAGGAAATATGAAAAGTTTTCTTTAATGAATTGCCCCGGACTCACCTGCCAGACACCTGGCTCCTGACACTATGAAGGCCCAATTTGAACCAGGGGTCCTAACCAGGGAGGTTTGTCTCCCTCCCCGCTGGGGACATTTGACAATTTCTGGAAGCATTTTTGGTCATCACAACTGGGAAGAAGGGTGTGTACATTATACCAGCATCTGGTGGGTAGAAGCCAGGGATGCTACTGAACATCATCCTGTCATGCACAGAACAGCCTGCAGCAGAGACCTGTGCAGCCCACGTTTGAGAAATTCTGCTCCAGAAGCCCAGTTCCACTACAAAAGAACACTTTCCTTTCTAAGGCCTGAAGAAGTGGTGGGAGGCCAGGAAGGCTAGCAAGCCCCCCTCCCATGGCCCCACCTCCCTAGCCCGGAACACCCATAGTCAGCTGCCTAGTGAATGGACTACAAATTCCCAACTGTACTGGGCTGCAGTGCATCCATTGGATGAGAAAGCAGGTTAGGGCTTTGGGGAACCAACTTCCAGCATTTCTGGCTGGCCCTGCCTCTTACCAGATTCATGACAGAGTTTATGCGTGTGACCTGACCCCCCTAGTCTCCTCTCTGAAGCACCATGTAATAACTCCGACTTCACAGGCTTTGGTGAGGGTCAACTGAGATAACGACACAGAGCTAATTGCTGTTGTAACTATTATGTGTTGGGAAATGTGAGACTTGCGGTGAGTCATGCAGGCCTGCCTGTTCCCACTTCCTGCGTGAGGAGAGGTTGATTGTGTTGGTGGGGTGAGAGGACAGGTCTTGCTCCTCTGAACGCCAACCTCCCTCTGAGGGAAAGGGAGGGGGAGTGAGCCATCCCCCCCACTGGAGTCCCAGACCTGCAGGTCTCTGGGAGCAATGGGCAGAAGAAGGAAGGGTTGAGGAGGTGCCCAGGGGGAGATGCAGGCCCAGCTGCCTGCAGACCAGGCTCTGTCCCATCGGGCCTGGAAGCCACTTCCCCAGACAGTAGCAATTATCGCAATCAAACAGTTGACACCAATTACGCACCAGGCAGAGAGGCAGCGGCAGCAGCGGCTGTGGCGACGTCTCGGCTTTGCATATCTTAATGTGGACTGACAGATGCTGAACTGCGGGGGCGCCGGCCTTGCCAGCTCTCAGCTGTTCTGTGGCACCAATTTCCAGAAGCCAAATTACTGCCAGGGCCTGCCCATTTGCAGGGTCCATCTGCGTCCCCAGAGACTGTTGGCAACGCTGTCCCTGGAGGGCCAAAGGCATGTAGCGGGCCAGGCGCACTGGGTCCCGCAAACAGTGTCCTTTAGGCCACAGGCCCCACTCCGGGAAGCCCTGGTGCACTGCCCAGAAGGCTCCTTCTGCTGTGCCCTGCACGCCAGGCCTCTCTCTTTGGCCCGTGGAAGCACCCTGAGACACTGCAGGTGGTGAAGGAGAAACGTGTCCAGTTCCAGGCATGCCTTTCAAGACTGACCTGCCTGAAAGTTGGGGAGGACCTCGGTGGGTGGAGTCCCCTCGGGAGCAGGTGGACCGGCCATCTTGGTCACTGGAGAGGAGGCAGATCACTTTGCAAGAGCACCTTCCCAGGTGAAGAGTCTCCCTAAGGTGCCTGTCTCTCGGTCTCTCCGCCTCTCCCCGCCCCCCACCACACACTTCCCGACTGGCCGATCCCACTTGCTCTGGACTCCCAGCCCATTCGCATCTCTTAGACACACCCGCGACCTATTTTTCAATCTTGTGAAAAAGGAAGCCCTTTTGGAAAACCCACCATTCCAACCACCCCACTGTCTAGATGGGAAACCGGATTCAGCAGGGGCAGGGGCTCCCAGGAGGGCTGGGAGTGGGGCTGGGACTCGGGACTGGGAGGCTCTGACGCGCGTTGACCGGACCCGATTCGGCAGTTCCTGGGCACCACGCTCGGGCTGCCAGTGCTCCGGCCCGGTCACGAGGACGGACGGAGTGGTGCCAAGGGCACTGTCCGACTTCGAAGACAGGGCCTAGGGACTCGTTATGTTATGTGCCAGCCACCCTCCTTGCCTGGGCGTCTGGGCTGAGAGCGCAGTGTCTGTGCGCATAACTGGGGCCAATCTCTTGGCCGTGGCTCTTCCGCGTCCTGGCTCGGGTCCGGCGGCCCGGGAACCCGGATTCCAGGCCTACTCCTGTAAGACGCCAGGGTCGTCGATGCTAGAGCTTTAGGGGTTCGCTTCGAGGACAAGGGAGCCAGCACGGAGCGGAGCTCTGCGGGTGTCCCCTGCAGCCCCCGAAGCCAGGAGCACATTCTGTCCCCAGCCGCGGATGGCTGCGTTAGTCACCACCCCCTCCACGTGGGGCGCCAGCCCAGGCGGCCGAGGCAGACCCAGGGCCTGGGTGCCAAGAGGAAGCGGGTTAGATTCCGCCGTGCGCCGGGGCGGGGAGGCGGCGGGGCCCCTTTGCTGGGCCGCGGGACACCTCGGAGCCCCAGCCTGCCTCCGGGGACGCCCCGCGGAAGATGCGGCCTCGTGCAGCGCTGGGCCGCTGCGCCGGGCCCTGCGCGCCCCCAAGGCCTGCGGACTTGAAAGCCAGCGTGCTGTGGTCCCCTGGTCCTCGGGGTGGGCGGGCGACGCCCCCGGCGGCGCGGGCCGAGGACGGGTCTCTGCAGGCGGTGTCAGCAAGTGCACGGGCCGTAAAAGGCCGAGCGGGCTTCCCGGGGATTACGGATCAGACACTGGGAGCCCTGTTCTCTCCTTCTCCGCCCTCTTCCCCACCCCAGGAACAAGAAAAAGAAAAATCTGTTGGAAATGCACTTTCCCCCCCGCCGCCCCCCTTCCCCTTCTGCTTTCACCGACTTAAAAGAAAAATAAAATACATTCCAGGAACCGGGACGGCTGCAGAGCAAACTCAAACCAGAAAATGCTTAAAGATGTTTTAATGACTTAAACACAGGGGCCGGTTTGTGTCTAAAAGTTTCCACATTAAAAAAAAAAGCAAATTCAATATTAAATATCCTTCCACCGCCTCCCGGGCCCTCCGCTGGCCCCTCACTGCCCCTCCTGGCTCCTCGGGCCTTCTGGGCCGCCCCCCCGCCCGGTCTTCCTCCGCACCTCGGCTTTCAGCTGCGGGCTATTAGCACCCAGTGCGAACAGAGACCAGGCCCCTCCATAAAGTTTATATCCACATTCCAAAAAAACGAAAAAACAAGGAAAAGGGAGAAAAACAACACCCTGGGTAGAGGCCCAAAGCTCCTGCACGCAGAGCCTCCCCTCCCCCACGCGCAGGGCCGGAGGAACTGTTAACTGGCAGCTGACAGATTTTTACAGCGCGAATTAGACCCTCATTTGGCTCAGGATTAGCCCAAATCTTCCATCTCATTACTGCTCTGCCTTGCTGGAGCCCCCTTTCTTGGAGGTGGGGACTTGTGGATGTGTCTCTGGGGTCCTGGCCAGAGTTCTCACTCTCTGAGCTGGGGTGGGATGGGGCAGGGAGGCGGCGTGGATGCCGGTCGCTGGTGAGACTTGGGGTCCTGGACGGGGCTGGGGTGGCCGGCCGTAAGTCCGTCTGAATTTCCTTCGCCGTTAGGTGGAGAGAACAGGACGCCCGCCTCCATGCTGGAGAGAGGGCCCGTGCTGGAAAGGCAGGTGCTGGCTTAGAGACTGGGCTTCTCCTTCCTATTCCAAGGGATCGCAGACTTTGAGAATAACAATGATCATTGCATTTGCTGAACACATATTACATGCCAAGCTCTATAGTGAGCCATTTTGTACTTAATCCTCACAGTAAATCCTCAGTGTGGACACCATTGTTATATCCCTGTCTTATGGATGAGTCCACTGAGAGGCCTCGGAGAGGGCAAGACATTTTCTGGAGAACACACGCGGTCAGTGGAAGAGCCAGGATTCAGACCCAGGCATGAGCGACTCTAGAGCTCTGAGCCTTCAGGTCAAAGGCCTCTGGTGCCAAAATCACAGCGGGCAACTCCTGTGTTAACTTCCACACCTAAGCTCTTGGTCCTCATTTCACCCACTAACTGACCCTCAGGAACTTGAAACCCGAATTCCTGCTGGTCGAGTTCTGACCATGGGCTGTCCTCTACTGTGAGGTGGAGAGCTGTTAGAATAGGACCCTGGTGGAGTGATTGTCTGGCTTCTCTCTGGCTCTTCCTTGACCCAGTGAAGCATGGTCCTGGGTGTCATTTCCCCATAAGGCAGCTAGGTGTTTGCAGAGAGGACTGGGGAGAGAGGGGGGCATTCATGTCAAACTGGAGAAGAGCTTCGGGGGCTGAAACTCTTCAGCTGCCCAGACGTTGAGCCCCTGGGAGCTTGACTCTACAGAGGAGAGTCCAGCTGCTTATACCCTCTTCTCTGAGTGAAGGGCAGTGCAGGGTGGGTGTGGGGTGGAGTGGCCGGGGTCTGGACACGAAGGACAAGGTGCGGAGGCCTCAGCCTTCTCAGCTCCCGAGTGCTCTTTGTGGAACAGGCTGCTTCACGGACACAGCTCGCCATTCAGGGGTCAGCCCACAGCAGGAAAATGTCTGGGAATTCTGGAGCTGCTCAAAATCCTTTTTTTTTTTTAAATGGAAATCTGAGGAAATTTTGAAGCATATGTAATACTTAGACTTTAAGTGCCCTTTCCAAAGTTAAATCACTTTGTCAGTTTAGGAATGTAAAAATGTTTTATGTATAACTTGTTTTGCTCATAAAATCTTTGTTTGGGTGTATTTGGAAATATGAGGCCAGGGAAAGGAAAGTTGAAATTCGAGGGCAAACTTCCACCCCCTGACTTACAGAGAGAGAACCAGTGCAAGGTGCTTTATAAACTTTGTCTCCGTATGTGGTTGGTTAGGCTCAAGCCTGGCTCTGGAGGTTGGGTGTCAGAGGCCACCCCCCATGCAGAAAGGAGCCACCCGAGGAACAGGGCAGAGAGAAGGATGGACAGTGAAAAGCCAGGGCGGCTGGAGCTAAGTTTTCCTAGGGATTTTGAGGGAGGAGAAGTGTGGCTTTGTGCAAAGGGTAGGCTGTTTTCCTCACGGCAGTCACCCTATTCCCAGCTGAGAATGACATTTCAATGTCTTCCTATTAGTCTACTCTCCCACTTCTAGTCTTTCTTCTAGTTTCCCCCTGCCCCTCCCCCTCCTTCTCCTTGTCTTTTTGCTACCTTCTGACACCTAGCCTTTCCCCCCGGAGCAGCAAGTCTCCCTGAAGTTCTCCAAGGGCTCCTAAACTCAGTTCACTCCCACGAGCACTTGTCGCACCCTCCAGGAACACAGACAAGAATTAGACCCTTGGGTGCCAGATGCTGGCCATGCCAGAAGAGGGTAACTGCTATTCACTGAGCACTTTCTCTGTGCTGAGCACTGTATTAAGTGACATATGTATTATATTCACACAGTTAATCTTCATAACAATCCCAAGAGGTGAGTGCTATTAAACCCATTTTACTGATGGGAAAACTGAGGCATAGATTGATTAAATAATTTACCCAAGGTCAACTGGGATTGGACCCCAGGTATTCTGGGCCCCAAGTCTGTGGCCTTAAGCATCCCAGTATTCCAAGGCCAGAAGTGTACCCAGGATGTTTGGTGAGTACTGGGGAGGGCACCGTCCCCAGCCTTGGGCATCTAGAAAGGCCTCCTTGAGGAAGTGACCCCTGAGTGGCTGTAGAGGCAAAATAAATGAAAAAAGAACATTCTTGGCTGAAAGGATGGCAGAGAGAGGTATCGCAGGGTAAACCTCACCACTGCATGCCAAGAGATAAAAGTTCTTTGGAATTTCTAGAATGTAAATAAAGTGTGAGGTCAGAGGAGGCAGGAGAGGAGGCTGGAGAGACAGGCTGGAAAAGGGCCAGACCACAGCAAGCTCGCTTCTTGCTTGGAATTAATAGTAGGTGAGGAAGAGCCATTGGTGGGTTTGGGCCAGAGAATGGTGCAAGAAATTGTGTGCTCTTGATAGAATTCTGTGTGAGTGTGTGTAGGGGGAGGGGCACAGTGGAGGAATGGCTGGACAGCGGTGAGACTGAACAGGGTTCAGTGAGAACACCAGTTGGGAGCTGAATAGGGGACCTGAGAGCCTACTTGACTTTGGAAATGGGGAAATGATTGGATGTAGAGAAAAAAAAGACATTTTTAAATTGCACTTTTACTTTAGATATCTATCTATAGTCTGCCGTATTCCATGAAAGGTTTTCAGCTAGATCTCTGACTTGCTAAATTTTTCCCAGAATGGTTCCTTATTTTTTCCCTACTAAATGCTCACCACTGGGCAACTTCACCCAGTTCACATTACTCAGTTTCCTTTCTGAAAACTGGCACGTTTATTATAGCCGGTGACTGTGCAAGCCGGTTTGCTGGGGTCAGTCCTGACTCCACCTGTCACATAATTTTTAACGGCGCTCCCCGTCACTCTGCAAAGTGTCCTGGGTTAAACAATGAATTACGTGGTCACCCTCGTTAAAGCACATATATGAAAAACAACTGCAATAAGGCCTTAAATCTTGATGGTGCTACATTATATAAACACACATTAAAATGATCTTACTTGCTCCAAATAAAAACCTTGAGAAGTAGACAGCATAAAGGTTATTGCCACTCCTTTCTCTGCTTTCCCGTTTCTTTTTGCTTAACACATGAAGAAAAGGAGGTTCAAGAAAATTGAATGACTTGCTGAAGGCACCCAAGTAGAAGGAGGAGTTGGACTTCACTCTTCCACTGTCTAGTTCAGTAGCCTTCTGCCACCCGCAGTCTCCATTACTTTGCCGCCAAAACTGAAGATGGCCCCACCCTCTTTGCTGCTCCTCCCACAGGAGGGTGGAGTCTAATCTCTCCCCTTGAATCTGGTTGGTAGCAGTGGTTTGCATAACCGATAGAATGTGAGACATGGGACGTTCTGGGACTCCAGAGGCTAGGTCATAAGAAGCCTTGTGTGGCTTCTGATTTTGACCACCCGAGTTCAGGTGTCCGGAAGGCAGCCTAAGTTTGTTGGAGCTAAGCGATGATTTACAGTACAGCTCAACACCTGGTTTCTAATAATTAACTTACTTGTGATAGTCCCATGTTGGTTTAGAGCAGCGATTCTCAACCGGTGTGCCACAAGAATTTTTAAAACATGCAATGCTTGACTATTTAGTTAGGGGCACTGACCTCTTTTTCTTTAGATTGTTGAGTTAAAAAAAATGACAACAACCAACACAACAATAGCTGTCTGTTATAAATGAGTCAAATACCTATTTTTTGTCGGATACCTATATACCTATTTTTTGTCAGATCAGCAAAAATGTATTTCCTGGTGTGCCACAGAACTTTAGTAATTAGCTATGTGTGCCATGAGATGGAAAGCACTGGTTTAGAGCAAATTACGTAGCTGGCAGGGCTTGTCTTTAGCTCACGTAGCACTCCTTTCCCCTCTCTCCCAGCTTTTTGGTGCCTACTCGTGGTCTTCCGCTTTCCCTGGGTATGTGGATTTATGTCTTATGTTTCACTGCGGAATGGGAATTTTGTTTCTGAATGTATTTATTATCTATTGATTGCTGTGTTACAAATTACCCCCAAACTTGGCAGGTTAAAACAACTAGTAGTTTTTACATATATCACAACTTGTATGGGTCAAGAATCTGGGTGGCTCAGCTGGCTCGTTCTGGTTGAAGGTGTCTCGTGAGGTTGCA